ACAATGATTGTTTTTCTACTTTCGGCTACTTTAGATCGCCAATTAAATGTAAAATAATAGCAAATATAGGTAATAATATGTTGAAACTCCAAAAGAGGTTCGAAGAAACAGGTGCAGTACAGTTTGTCTGAGTGGAGTTGCCATATAATGACTTCAGAAGAAGGGGCGGGGCCACGAGCAGATATCACCACCAGAGCAGATCTGGTACCTACTACCATCAACTTACTTTAAAACATATTTTTTATTTCAAAAGGGACTGATGTAAGGGTGAAGCAGCATTTTACAGCCACATGGTGTCAGTGTTGGCGATAAGTTTTCCATGATTGTCTCTTGCCTGCAGCTGGCTGTGGCCGGCGCCCCGGTGACGGTGTGGATGGCCTACGACACGGGCTACACGGAGCGCTACATGGACGTGCCTGAGAACAACCAGCAGGGCTACGAGGAGGGATCCGTGGCTCTGCACGTGGACAAGCTGCCAAGCGAGTCAGTACACACACACAGGGGATTATTATGCATGCTGTTGCATGTCCCTGACTTTAGGAAATGTCAAATGATTGTAAATAAAGACCGAGTTTTTCCCTCTTCCTAGACTGCAGCCTTTAAAGCAGCAAATAGCTGAAATATAATAAAATAAACTTTTATTTAATTCATTGAAACTCAGGTAACTTTTTTGCGTTTTTTTGTTCATGACTGAAAGAAGTTATCTTTAGACACACCGGAAGTATTTGAACTATTTTATTGATGTCTGTGATCCAGTTTGGAGTCCCGCTTTGTAACGCATCGTCTTCTGCTTCTCCTTTCAGGCCCAATCGTTTGCTGATCCTCCACGGCTTCTTAGATGAGAATGTGCACTTTTTCCACACCAATTTCCTGGTGTCACAGATAATCCGAGCTGGAAAGCCCTACCAGCTCCAGGTTAGTGTCAGAAACATTTTTCTTTTCATTTTCAGCATTAAGACGTCTATGGGGTGATGTTTGTACCATTATTGTTGGAAAGAACGCGTTATACAAATGGAAATACAAATGAAAAATACAATTCAGAAATGAAGCTTAAAGGTAAAGAAGGTTTTGACAGCAGCTTTGCCGTTTCCACGGATTTTATTTTTTTCTCATATTTTATTTTTGCTCCTTTAAATTTTTTTGCAGATCTAATATTTTCAAATTTCATATTTTTCAGGTTTAGTTTTACAGATTTTATTCATTACAAGTTGCCTTTACAAGATCACATTCTCTTCAGTTATGGGGGCGGGCTTTCCCCTGGAGAGAGAAGCAAAGTTGCATTTCTATTAGTTTGCAACATTAGAGTGAATTTTTGTTTTGGGTTTGAAGTAAAGAATAAATAAAAAAAAATTAAAAAAGGGAAATAAAATTAAAAATATTGATTTGAACTGTTGCGTTAAACATTATAATTACTTTTAAAACCTTTTTTTTTTACTGAGCAGTTTTTCAAAGATAATTTTGCAACAGATTTTTGTTGAATGTCTTTTTTTTTTTTTTTTATGCTGTTTCCTTTTATAAATTTGGACCAGATTTCTCTCCATAAGCGGCCTTCCTTAGGAAAAACTCTAAATCAAGTCACAGACTCGGCATCAAACTGACAACACCGAAAAAAACACAGCATATATTGACGGCTATGGGGTGAATTTTGTACCATTATTGTTGGAAAGAACGCGTTATACAAATGGAAATAAAAACGAAAAATACAATTCAGGAATGAATCTTAAAGGTAAAGAATGTTTTGACAGCAGCTTTGCCGTTTCCACGGATTGTATTTTTTTCTCATATTTTATTTTTGCTCATTTTAATTTTTTAGCAGATCTCATATTTTCAAATTTCATATTTTTCAGGTTTAGTTTTACAGATTTTATTCATTACAAGTTGCCTTTACAAGATCACATTCTCCTCACTTCTGGGGGCGGGCTTTCCCCTGGAGAGAGAAGCAAAGATGCATTTCTATTAGTCTGCAACATTAGAGTGAATTTTTGTTTTGGGTTTGAAGTAAAGAATAAATAAAAAATATAAAATAAATAAAAAAGGGAAATAAAACTAAATATATTGATTTGAACTGTTGCGTTAAACATTATAATTACTTTTAAAACCTTTTTTTTACTGAGCAGTTTTTCAAAGATAATTTTTGCAACAGATTTTTTTTCAATGTCTTTTTTTTTTTTTTTTTTTAAATGTTGTTTCCTTTTTATAAATCTGGACCAGATTTCTCTCCATAAGCAGGCCTTCCTCAGGAAAAACTCTAAATCAAGTCACAGACTCGGCATCAAACTGACAACACCGAAAAAAACAGCATATTTTACACCATATATATATTTAATGCTCCGAACTTCCATATCGTTGTGTTTTTTTGCACCACGTTTTTTCTCCCACTCTGTTTACAATTTATCAAAAATTTTGTGCATACAAAATGACAATAAAAAAAAAACAAAAAACAAAACACTTTTCTAAGGAACATGCAGGCAGTAACGCCACATTTCCTTCATCTCTAATAAACTGGATTTAGGGTTTTTCAATTCAATTTATCTTTATTGTCATTGTGACAAGAACAACGAAATTTAAAAAAAGTGCCATCGATCAGCGCACATGCTTAAAAACAAAAACAAAAAATCACTGTCACCACCATTTACAAATAATATAAGAAATAAATAATAACTGATACAAAATGATTTTTTTGGGCTGTATTCACAACCCTTTATTTTTATTCTTTTATACCTGTGTCACCTCATGTCTGTAGCTAACAGTGGTTACAACTCACGCTCTTCAAGTCGTGTTCTTTACACTACTCCCAGGATCAACACAGATCTTAACAAAACATCATTTTCCTATGCAGCACCACGGTCGTGGCACAATATTCAAAACTCCCTGCTATTACGGACTCTTATCCCACTACAGCATTTTAAATCACTATTGAAAACCGCTTGCACAGAGAATTGTAACTGTTATTCTAGAGTCTAGTTTATGATTGATTTTATTATGTTGTTTTTATGTTTTTATATCTCTTACTGTACTGCTGCCTCTTGGCCAGGTCTCCCTCGAAAAAGAGATTTTATCTCAAGGGACTTCCTGGTAAAATAAAGGTTAAATAAATAAATAAAAATAAAATATTCGGTTTAGGGTTTTTATTTTACCTGTGAGCTAAAATAAAAATTTTAGCTGTAAGTTTAGTGAAAAAGTGTGAGGAATCTGAAGAAAATGCAAGCTTTGATTTTTTTTAATTTTAACCGAAATGCATACACTGCAAAAATGATCTAGAAATAAGTAAACATTTCTTAAATTAAGTGTATTTCCCCTCAATTTGAGCAGTTAAATAATATT